TGGGAAGACTCCAACATAAGAACCTTCTCCAAATGCGAGGTTGGTGTCGGAAAGGCAATGAGGTCATGCTTGTTTACGATTACATGCCTAATGGAAGCCTTAACTGTTGGATTTTCGACAAACCACAGAAACTTCTGGATTGGAGACAACGACTGTTGGTGTTGGCCGACATGGCGGAGGGTTTGAATCATATCCACAGAAGTGGTGTGTGGACGACGGCCCTTGGAGATGTCGACGAAAAGGGATGAAGAGTTTAGATAGGCGGCGCCATGACCGTGAATCCTGTTTCATTTTGTTAAATTTTATTCAGTCAGCGGTGAAGAAGAAAATGAAGGGGTTTGACGGGAGTTAACTGCCACGTCAGCAAAAACTAATGACACTTATAGCAGGTACAACAACGAAAACGAACTAAATATTTGATATTGTTTTGTAAGTTTCAAAAGTTGAGTGACCAAAATGCAAACGTCTTAAAAGTTCAGAGACTATTTATATATTTTATCCTAAAAAATAGTAATGGTTAGGGTTTCTTGTTGGCACCTCAAGTATTAATGTAATTTTAACTAATATTCCCTCGTCAATATCAGCACTTTCCTTCGAATTAGTAATTTTGTGAAAGAATGAAACCTTCATCTTTGTACAACTTAAAAAGTTTGGGAATAAAGTTGAAAAATACTAGTAGTATATACCTTGCGATGATGATCAAAATTGGAACCACACTTTTAGCAATTAAGATCTAAATCAAGCTTAGGTTGCTCACCTGTATTCGAAACACAAGTATATTAGCTTTTTAGACGGTAGTATTGATGGAGCAAAAGCTGTGGTTGAAGTCTTTTTTTATGATAAACTACTTAAATGACCACTTAATTATGGGGTTGATGTCGATATGATTACCATACTTTCAATCTTGACAATATGGTCATAGAACTCTTTAAGGGCGTGTTTGGTTCATGGAATGTAGCATTACCTCCGAGAATGCGATTATCGGAATGTAACATTACCTAATACATTACTGCGAATGTTATATTACTGTGTTTGGTATGTTTGGCAGGAATGTATGATTACAATGTTTGGTTGAAGGAATATGAGATTACTGGAACATATATTTTACCAAATTGTCCTTATTCTATATGTGTTAATAAATGAAATTCTAAATATTTAAATAAAAATATTTATATAAAAAATCATCAAAAATATATTACTTTATTATTTTAAATTTATATATTTTTTAATAAAATTTATATATACATTTTTTTATAAAATTTAAAAGATAAATGGGTAGAATAAAAGAGTAAATATATCATGTATTATTTTAATAATAAATAATATTATTTTTTACATTATTTATCTAAAAATATATTAAAATTTTACATCAACATTTAATTAAATAAACATATGAAATTTTTAATAGATAAACCATTTTACTCCTGTCAAAATGCAGGATGATGCTCACTTATTTTACTGAATTCTCTGTAAATGATAGTGTGTGTATATGTTATATTTAAATTCTGCAATTCTATCTTGCAATTATTTGCATTAATCGAGTAAACTTTATTTATCATATTTGTATTAGAAAAATAAACTTGTTGATTCTTATAATTTTTTATGCTTTATTAAATGTTAGCACATTTTTTGTTTTTATAATTTAAACATTTTTCTCTATAAATGAGAACAAAACAACATACAAAACATATTCATTTTATTTCAACAGCAACCTATTGTCTTTGCAAGACCCTTTTTATTTTAACACAACAGATTCATTTTATTTTGCACACAGTAATAAACAAAATACAAAACATGTGGTATTCTTGATACCCATTACGATGCAACATTTATGAGAAACATTGGGAATGAATAAATTATTTTAGCAATTTCAGATAGACTGATAGATAACACTAGCAGGCAGTATGCAACAGTAGAACGAAAAGCAAAAGTGCAAACTGAAAGATAAGAGATAAGCTTACATTCTTTGTTTAGCTTACAGAACAAAAAGAAGTATAACATTAACCATAAAAAGCAACAACAATGTTCAGACTTACAAAAGATAATGGCCATGACATTCTAAACTTAATCATATATATTGGCTATATTATATACACAACTTCCTTTAGACCTTCAAGGATTTTTACAAGATGGTCAGCCCTGTCCCATATGTACATCTTATGCTCTCCTTTGATAGAAGAAGCAACTATTACCCACGCACCGTCACCACTGAAATAAGTTGCTTTCCAATGGATCTTCGTGATTCAATCTTGAAACTCTCGAATCAAGCATTTGGATCCAACAACCTTCAGCTTCTCAAGTGTGTTAAAATCCAGTAAAAAAAACGACAGTGTGCTAAATTTTATCTGAAGAAACAATATTGGTGGAGCAATGCTAGAGCATGAAACTGCACAAGTGTTGCTCTTGATTGAACAACTTTTTGAACCTCATTGCTCCATCTTTTAACAATCTCAGGGTTTATCTGCCCAAATGTTTTTGACATGTTAATAAATGACAAATGTTTTGATATTAATTTAAAAACTACGCGAGCATATTTGTGTGTGTAAAGCAACCCTAAGAAAACTGTTACATGCAGTAAGTGGATACCGCTGACTAAGGCTTCACTTACAACAACTGGGTTTTTGTCAACAATTGCTTGTTTCAAGTATCGTTCGATCTGGGTTAGAAGAGTTCCATCTGTTATCCGACAAAGTACACGAATAACATTTGCTCGATACATATCAGTCTTGCTAGTCATGTCCTTCATGAGAGAGCTTGTAACAATAATAACATATTATCATCAAGAAAGGATTAATTAGTATCAAAATAAGAAAACATGCATGCACAAACACATAAAAAGTTATTCAACGAGCATGGAAAATTCAAGACATATAACCTCATATGCTGATAGAGATAACTCCTTTATCATCACATAAACCATTCTCCTCAAACCTATATCCTTTGATTGGAATAACTTTGTCACAACAAAGAAACCTCTGTCGCTTCAACCTATCGATATAAAAAAAAGAAAATCGTCATTCACATTATGGTAGAGCTTATTTCCTTAATTATACATAACTATAGAAGAAATACATACACTATAGGTTAATTGTAATTCAACACAGAAAAAAAGGATTTGATCATTTCGTGTACAATTAGAAAAGAAAGACCAACCTTAGTGAATGCTTCTCCTTGGTTCAGTAGATAAAGAAGCTTTGTGATAACCTGAGAGCATCTTCGAGGATCAAGCTGAGGGCCATTGAAAACTCTAGCTTCTTAAAGAACAACACCCTTCTCAATCCCCAAAAACGGAGAGTAATCCGCTGTTTAACAAACAAAATTGCAATAAGAAAAACATTCTCTAAACACCTAAAAGCTGGAAGAACTCAACAACACTACAAATAAAACTCGAACATAATGCATTCATAAAGCCTCGAGATCCATTACTGGCATAAAATGAAAAAACCACAAACATATACACGACATGAGAATTACATGCATGATTTTCTTAAACTCGTAATCGCAAGTTTGCACAAAAAGGGTTAGAAGAGTGATACTTTAAAATACCAAAAACAACAATTCATCATCATTTCCCCATCCAACTAAATAGCACGCATTTCAGCTATAAATAAACTTATCAACTTAAACAGAAATTAGGAAAACAAGTCAAATGAAAACTCGGAAAGAATATAGAACATAAGCAAATACTATTTGAGCAAAATCATATATGAGGGAAAGATATCACATTTTCCCTATTTTTCTTATTCAAAAACAGTGTTATGTTTATTAACAATTACGGATGGATTTTCTTTCCCTCCTGCAAATTGTAGTTAACAATAAAAACCAAATAAGCTTTAACACCAAAAAGAATATAAATTGTAACTCCAACTAGCTGAATTCGCTAGGAAACACTCACCCATTTGAGAATAAGGGGGAAATATCACTTCAATAAAAAAATACTCAACATACATAGCGATTAATTTCTTTTAAAAGAATAACAGAGGGGGAGAGAGATATATATACCATCGAGAAGGGTTCCACGGCGATTAAAGGCAATGCATTTCATAACCCCATGCTCCAAATACTCTTCTATCACCTCTGTGGGAAATCTCCTTGCAATGGATCTTCTCCAAATAAAACCCAATTTTAGAAAAACCGAAAATAACAAGAAAAAAATAATTTTTGAAATGAGAGAAGAAACCTTCCCTGGAGAATCACGGGGAAAACCACGAATTTTTATTCCTTAACAGAGGCAAGGTCACGGGGAGAAGAAGATAAGAAAGGGTATTTTAGCCCTTAAGCACGGGAATGAAAAAAATACCTAACTCATCTGTGGGAATAACATTCCTAGGAATAAGCACACAAAAAATTAATGTTGGCATTGAGATATTACCCTTGCTTGGGAATTTTGTCCATCCAAACATGGGTATCTTAATTAGGAAAAAATATTCCTCTTAGGAATGATGAAATCCTTGATCCAAACGCCCCTAAGTAGTTTCAATGCAACCACCTGTCGTTATAAAACAAGTGGCGTAGCTTATGCGGCTATTATTGACTAATAGCGAGTTAGAGGTCTACATCAGCAACGAAGAGAGGTTGCTACATCGAAACCACTTAAATAGTTATGTAGTCATATTATCAAAAATTAAAAGTATGATGATCATATCGATACCAAACTTATAATTAAGTGGTCATTTAGTAATTTACCCTATTTTGATTAGGTTGAGCACTGATATGAACAATTTGGATCACATTATTTCGAAGTCATTTTATTAACGTATTTTGTTCAAATGGTACTATGACTTTCAAAATATTATTATATATTAATTAATGTGTTTTTAAAGATAAATATGAAGTCTATTTCATAAAATCATTGGTTTGGAAATCGAAAATTCTGAGTTGATCTATCACAAAGGTTTTTTTAAGCAAATTTTTTTAACCAATCAAAGATAGGGTTCTTCTCGAAGATAAATTTATTTTATTATAAATTCACTAAAAGTGGACATAAGCCGACCCTCCGGACACCTAAATTAAAATGATAAGATCGTAAAACATTTTTCTTGGTCTCAACAAAGTTTTTCGCCGGCGAGGCGGTGGCCGCCTCTTTCGTGAGGCGGTAGCCGCCTCCACCTCCGTCCCTGCTGCTTTATGTTATCTTTCGACCGCTTCTCCCAAGATCTCAAAAGTCTAACACAGTGTTGTTGAATCTTCTTTCTTGTTCTTTGAACAAGGGATTAGTCGGCCCCCGCTCTGGTGTTTTTAGATTTTGGGTTTGTTGGATTTCGTCTCCAATTTTGCTTCTCGTTTGTTGGGGGTTCTCTTCTAGCTTGGTGAGATCGGCTTTCTCTCTACCAGCTGTGATTTTTTTCCTCTTTCAAATCGATTGCTGTTTCGTGCTTGAGTTTTGGTTTACTATTGGATTTAGTTTCAAAGTTTTTGAGTTACTGTGCAGTTTCAAGTATGTTATTGGAGTTAGATTGAGATATTTAATTCTGCACGCAAGATGTTTATGTTAAAGCCTTAGTGTACCAGTCTTTTGCTTGTTTGAATTTACAGTATGAGGGTGAGTGTTTCAGGTCTTTCTTCGGCTCTGGTTCTCTGTTTGTGGATATCCTACCAATCTTTTTCATTGGAAAGGTTTTCTGTGTGTTTACTTTCCAAAGTAGAGGAGACGAGTAGGTTCTAGGTTTGGCTTCGTTAATGATGTTGATTCTGACGTTATCAAGGTTTTAGCGTATGTATTTTTTGTTGAGTTTGGCTAGTTATTTGCTCGTCGGTGTTGCTTTTTAATGTTGCCCATACCGATCATGCGTTTGTGTATTGCTTTGCTGTCTCTGTGATCTGAATTATGTGTGATCCATCGTAGTTTGGGGAGCTGGGTGAAGTGTGCTTCCTGTTCTTGTAGTTGGGTATTGTAATGGGGAGGCAGAGTGGTGGAGCGTGGCATTCAAATGCTGAGGTAGCTGGTGATTGTTCTCTGTACGATGAGGTATGGGCAGATGTTTTTGGTCCAAATATAGAATCTAATGCGATTCCCATGCATTCACTCTGTCAGAAGAGTGACTCGTTTAATGTCTTGGAGGCAGCTAGTTGGGGGCACGTGGTTCTTGAGGAAAAATGTGTGCTACTTCCGAAGTCAATATGAAGGATGTGTCATTTTTGTTTAATGATGGGATCATGAACATGGCTATTGATGATAGAGTTGGGCTTATGGTATTAAACAGAGATTACTATGAGATCTAAGGCTTTTGGTCTTTGTGGTTTTTATCGTGGATTTTTTTAGAAGAGCTGGATTTATATTCTAAGTTCTTTTTTAGTCTGAGCTGCAGTGGGTTTAAGATATATTGGTTGGCAAGGTGTGTTGTGGTATTGCAGGAGGTTTTAGGAGGCTTAAGAAGTGTTAATCTTTGTCGGGGAGTGATTGTGTTTTGAATTCTTCTAATGGCGTTGGGGAGTGTTTGTGTGATGAGTTTTGTGTGCTGGGAGGAAGTTTGTTGAAGTTATGGCGCTATGTTAGTGTTTTTAGCAGATTTGGTGATCAAGGTTTCTACTGATGTTTGGATACGTCTCTTTGCTGCTGTGTTCGCTATAGTTCAATATTATGGTTGCCCATCTCGTTCTATCTTAGTTCTGTTGCATGGTTTGTAATGGTGTTAGTTTGAGTTGGGTTGTGGCTTGGGGTATGCCTTGTGTGTTGTTAGTGTGATTTTTGTATTCGATCATTCCCACCTATTGGTTTACTATTTTTCCTCCACTTAGGGTTAGGGAGGCTTTTTAATGAGGTCATCGAGGTGGTGTAATTTACAATTATTCGTAATACAAAGTACCATCTTTAAAAAAAATATTCTCAAAATTTCCCTCTTACTAGAACTGCTATTACCCCTTGACTTGCTCTTGAAACATTTCCCAATCTATTACCCCTTAACTTGCTCTTGAAACATTAAAACGATTGAATGCATTATTTTTCTCATTTATGCACTTAAATAATTTAATGTTTGACGTATGGAGAAAAGTTACTGTTTTATTGTATAAACACGGTTTTCTATCTACTTATTTATTGATCAAAGAATGATGCTGAAAATTAGGTATTTAGTCATTCAATTATTACTTTGATTTTATTTTGTTTACTTAATTTTGGTTTAGTTCTGATCACTCGTTATTAAAAAAATAATGATGATACTAAAGTTTCATCATAAAGTACTGTCACATCATCATTGGAAAAAATAAAAAAGATACCACATCATTAATTTTAATTTTTAACAGCGAGTGCCAACATAAAATCAAAATGTAATGTTAGTGATACTTTAAAAAATATTCGAGTAATCAAAATGAAACTAAAATAATAACTGGGTGACTAAGGCTTAGTTTGTTTTCACTGTGCAACCTTTTCAAACCTCTTATGTCTGCACCACAAAGACCACGCGCAGACATTAGGCTTCACAGACCATTTATTTTTTAGAAGACAAAAGCTCTTCAAACGTCTGCACGAGCTCTTCTTGGTGCAGACATGATTTTATGTCTTCAAAGGTCTGCGGGAAAATTAAAACCATTTAAATCTATTTTAAAATATGGATTGATTTATTTTAAAATATGAAAAAAATTTATTTTAAAATATGGATTGATTTATTTTAAAATATGGAAAAATTTATTTTAAAATATAAATTGATTTATTTTAAAATATGGAAAATTTTATTTTAAAATATGGATTGATTTATTTTAAAATATGGGAAAATTTATTTTAAAATATGGATTGATTTATTTTAAAATATGAATTGATTTATTTTAAAATATGAAAAAATTTATTTTAAAATATGAATTGATTTATTTTAAAATATGGAAAAATTTATTTTAAAATATGGATTAATTCATTTTAAAATATGGATTGATTTATTTTAAAATATGGATTGATTTATTTTAAAATATGAAAAATTTTATTTTAAAATATGGATTGATTTATTTTAATATATGGATTGATTTATTTTAAAATATGGATTGATTTATTTTAATATATGGATTGATTTATTTTAAAATATGGATTGATTTATTTTAATATATGGATTGATTTATTTTAAAATATGGATTGATTTATTTTAAAATATGAATTGATTTATTTTAAAAAATTTATTATTGTAGTTGTATGGATTATTTAAATTTTAGTATTATAAAACTAAAATTATTTAAATTTCAATATTGCAAAACTCTTTTAAGTTTAAAAAACCAGTTTATTTTATATTTCAGTTTATTTTTGCAGTCTGCAGACGTTAAAAAACAAACAGTCTTCTTCTTGCAGATTGTAGACTTTTAGTCCACCTCTTCTACTGCAGATGTCTACATATGTGGTCCGCAGACTGCGGACCTTTTACCTCTTCAAAAACAAACACCACCTAAATATATAATTTACCCTTAAAATTACTCACAATTAAACTCGATTTATAGCTATATTTAAAAATAAACAGTCAGATAAGTTATAATTCGTGAATGGTTCAACCAAACCTTTTGAGGTCCGGCCATATTTTTTATTACTTTTTTTATTTAATATTCATTAAAAATGATACAATAATAATTCAATACTAATTAAGCGTAAATATGATCAAAGAAAATATTAATTTGAAATAAAAATAATCGTTTCAAGGATAGGAAGTTTTCTGGAGGCTTTAAGAGAAATCCGGAAGATAGGAATTTCGGAACTTCAAGGTTTACTCTAGTGGAGGATCTTCCAGAGTTGAGGTTGGATCACTTGTACGGGCGATTTTTTTCGAAATAGAGTGTAATCTCCTAAAAACAGCCAAGACGATACGACCGAATATAGGTGGTCACGTATCATATTCATATTTTTTTATATTTAAAACGTATTTGAAATATGTTTTAGTAAACAAAATACATATAACAATAGAAAATACGAAATTATCCAACAGTAAAATTCATACAGTAAACATATATATATACCAACATCATAAATTTGTATAAAACATGTTCAAAACAAAATACTGATCATACATATATATAAAGACAAAAGCAAAAACTTGTGTCACCAAAATATAACAAAAAGACATAGAAATATAAATCGGATAAAAAGGAGAAACAATCGATCCTTCTAATGTTAAGTCTGCTAGTCTGCTAGTCTACTGCCTGATAATATCCGAAAGATTAAAAATTAAAGAGTGAGCTAAAAAGCTTAGTGTGCTTCTTGCAATGTATACAGAAAAATACTTATAAAATATTTCAGTAAAAATTTTATTTATAAAGCATGTTTTTAAAACATAAAACTACCCCAATCGAATATCAAAATGTGTAGGTTCTCCTGAACTATACACCTACATGTACACCCGATAAGGACCTACGATAAGGACTTACCTTGTGCAAAATGTAGAAGGGCCTGCAGTAAGGTCTTACAAGTCATAGACTAAGCCTGAAATATTCCCTCCAACAATATCACCTCAATGACATCAAATATGCATGTATTTCAGTCAAAACAATAGTTTAATATCAAAACATGAAAATAATCCATGGTTTAAATTCATATTCAGAAAAATACAACAACTAGAGATCATAGTAGAAATATACAGTAAATCAAAATCCAATAATTGGTATACAATAAATCAGAGAATATATCATTAAAATGTTCAGTATCATCAAAAGTTAAGAACGATTCAGATAAATAAATCAAAACAATAATTTAACACTATCAAGTACACACTAATATCGGTCTGAGAAGTTTGATAAGGTAGCCTACTGTCGAGTCTATCAATCACGATCAACGACATCGCTATATCCTACAAATGGGAGAAACTATCTCACTAACCTAATACAATAATTAATAAACAATATTTAAACAATTTACGAAAACCTACGAGTAACTCTTGAAGCACGTAGGTCGTGAAGATCTACTAGACGGGAAGCGTCAAATCTAGTCTACCCCCGATTGGGAGAAACACGAGTACCTTCATAAAAATATATTTTCAAATCAATTCTATATTCAATACCCAAATAATCATGTAGAAATATTAAAAAAAAACTAAACATTTTCGGGTTAACAGATTTATTTCGGGGCTTTCAAGTCAAAATTTGACAAAATAAACCGCAAAATCAGACTCAAGACGTCGAAAAATGTCAATATGATGGTTTTCAAAAAATTCAATGTTGATTAATGGTCAAAGTCAACACCGATCAATGGTTAACGACGTCGGTCAACGACTCCTCTTGGCTTGGTGTGATGAAAATCAGCTCAGCTCGGCGTGGCTTAGCTCGACTGGACCGATTCGATTGGATCGGTTTAGTTGGGTTGGTTTGGGGTTTGGGCTAGTTTGGTATTGACCGGTTTAAGATTAGGTTATAAGATTTGGGTAGAATGGGTTTTAGGTCGTGTCAGATACGAGTCGGGTTGACTTGTTTCTAGAAGCTCCACTAGACGGTGGAGAAGCCCCATGCGCAGAGGCGACTAATGGATTGCTTGATTTAGCAACGTCGGAAACTTGTTTTCCTTCACCCCTCACATGCCGTAGATGATGATTACAAAGCGAACATCGGTGTAGTCGGGGAAACGCAGGATCACGATGGTACGAAAGGTGTCGTAAACAGAACTACGATTATGGCAAAATGAACTTTGAAGTTTCTATGAGAAGAAAACCGAAAATAGAAAAAGAGAGAAAAAAAGGGAGGTTTCTAAAATGGAAAAATTTAAAGTAAGGAAAGCTTTTAAACTCAATTTACCTGGGAATTGGTAAAATTATACCTTGAGTCCTCGAGCTTTTGTTGATTTACAAATTTGATCAGAATTTAATTAAAAATTCACTTTATTCCCCGAATTTAACTAATTAAAAAAATTTAACCACTAAATTGGAGGTGATATAGAGGTTTGATCACATGTGCGAACAATATTCTGAAATAGAGAATATAATAGTGGAATGATATTGACTCAAGAAGTATGAAATAATCACTTTGTTGAGGTATGTATAAACAACCTCTTTAAGACATTGTTAAATAAAAAAGATAGGAAATGAAAAGATTAAGTAGAATTAATGGACAAGCATGTGAAATGAACGATCACAAGAATCAATAATAAACACCTTTCAAACATCAATACTCTTTTCATGTGAGAAGAAAGTATCTCTATTACTAATTTTTTCTCAGTACTAATTTTTTCTCAACAAAATTTATATATTGTTTACTTTTAGAATTGTCGTAACCGTCTTTCGGTTGGGCCCCGAATTGGGCTTCGACTTGAAATAATTGGGTTGGGAGTCGCCACCGACCACTTTAAAACGAATTTAGATGGGTCGGACATCATCTTACCTGATATGCGTTTTTACCAGAAATGTGTCGGGTTCGGGAGTCGATTACGGTCAAGGAAGGATTAGCACCCTTGAACCACCCTTTCGGTACCAATTAATTTTCCGGTTGTCTTAAATTAAGAAAATTGTAATTTAAAATTAAAAGGTAAAAATACGATCACAATTACTTACCTTAGATAATTTTAAAGGTGTGGTATTTTATTTCCTTTTCGAATCGTTTACAATAGCTTTGCCTTTGTATTTTCCGTGCTTTCCTCTGTATTTTGAATGTAAATCGTGTCTTATAAATGGGGAGGATTACATGTATTTATAGTGAAAAAAACTAACTATTTTTAGAATCCTATAAATAATAGAATCCTAATGCAACTAGACTCCTTGCTCGGTTGTTGCACGTTTGTTGGTGTGGTTGTTGCTTTAAAAGATATGGTGGTGGAAGAGTCCTCCTAGCAGAGAAACTCTTGCTAGTTCTATCTTTTAAGAAAATGGGTGTCTACAGCTGCCCCTCTTTGATCTTTTTCATAGAACGAAAAATAGGACAAAGATAAAAAGACAC